CCATTCTGCTCTCATTTATGTCAATGGGCATTAAAGCCTAGTTCAGCCCAGCCAGCCCACTATCCATCCCACACACATGCCGGTGGGTGCCACTGTCTGTCTAGGCATGCCTGTCCCACTGCTGGTTTCCGTGCTCACTAGTTGGAGTGGCAATCCAAGAGGGAGGTGCCCACTGTTTTCCTTCTGGACTCACTCCTGCTCCCCAATCTTGCATTCTGCGTGTGGTTCTGCAGCTTAGCTTGACAGTTTACCCCTCTACCAGCATCTGCCAGCTGATACTGTGGCAAAGCCCATCCAACCTTCACCCACTCTGGTTTTTGCAGGTACCAGTAGGTACAATCTGCCCAACCTGGCTTGCCCCCAATCCAGCTTACATGCAGGCCAACAGGTGTTGTAGCCCTGTCCAGCATCATCTACCCTCAGCCCAGCTTTCAAGCTCACCAGGCTCATCAGCGGAGATCCCTGCAGCCCCTACTGGTTTGCCTGCTTTCCTCCAGGTCTCACGTGCATTCTGGGCCCCACTGTGGACTGGCTGGCATTGCAGCCTGACCTGGCATGACCCACACGTGCTGGCTCTTGGATTTGCCAGCAGGTGATATGAACTGGCCCAATCTGGTTTGCCCCAGACCTGAGTCAAAGGTAAGCCCGTGGGTACCATAACCTGGCCTGGTCTGGGTTGCTTCCTTTCTTGGATTTTGCACTCTCCTGCAGGGACTGTCTCGCAACAGAGGAGTTGCATACGCTTCTTGCTATCTTACAGTAATCTTATGGTCATTTTAAGAGTTAACTTTCAGGCATTTCATCAGAATGTTCCTTTGCACATTCTAATATTGAAATGTTCTGTTCCTTTGTGGGTATAGTGCCAATCTTGTTCGTGTTTCTTGTGTTTCTATGTTTCCTTTTAGGCATTTGTGGAACTACTTGTTGGCATTTCTCATGGCTTTGAACTTTGGAACACATCTCCGTGGTCTAATGAACTCTGCTCCTGTGGTGGATATTGAAAGGCAAGTATTAATTCAGGCCAGGGGCCTCTCTGATCAGTGTATGTTGTATGTACTCGGGCTAACATTCACATTGGCATGGCAGGTGTCGTCTTTTATTAGCAGGTGGAAGGCTAATAAAAAGCATCCATTGATGTGATGCTGTCTACCAAGGTGGTCAGTGCTCAAGGAGACCCTACAGTGGGAAAACCCTACTGATGCTTTCATGAGAATCTGTGTGGTTCTCTGCGTGAGCACAGAATCCCCTGGGAAGACCCAACCCAGGCCCTCAGGGTGTGCTAAGCCTCTGTAGCCAGATGCAAACATACTGAGTGCAGAGACATGCAGCTACACACTGCACACGTTATCGCAGGTACTGTCATCACACACGGGGCTCCCACAATCACAGGGGTACAGAATCTACTATTAGCTCTATGTGGCTGCTCCCTCTCTGGAGAGACCTCAGGAATCTGCAGAGCCAGCAGGCTGCTGCTTTCTGCCTAAGCAACGTAGGTGCAGGCACCTGTGATAGAGGACAGCCCCTCACACGCTTGCATGCCTCCCTTCACATTATAGAAGGCTACAACTCCACAAAAGTATTCGCTGCACTATCTGGTGCATGGTTGGGTGTTGGATCCGGTAGCTGCCCACCAACTGTCCCCGGCTGCTTCATGGTCCTTCCTGATGTTATCTTTCATGTCCACGTTAGCCGCTACTGCTTGAGAGCAAACATCCACAGTTCAGGAAGGAAAAAGGAAAATGGGCAGTTTATCCTCTTGGGATGCCTAGAATTTTAGTTCCAGAAGGAATCCCTCCCTAACAGGAGGTCTTTGCCAATACTTCATTGGCCTGTCTCTCTAGCCACAGCCAGCAGCAGAGGAGCTGTTCCTATATTTGACTTCATTAGTTCCTCAATAAAGACTGGATTTTTCTCTGTTTTCTTAATCCATAGTCATAGTCATTTTTTAAATAATTCATTATATACCCCGTGTTGATATTACCCAGTACTTTTATTAATTTGATGAACTTTCTGTATCTTCTGCACTCACTCTAATAAAAATCATACCAGGTTAAATTCTACTTGAATTCTATGGCTTATAACTTACTATTTTCTCCCCTAGTTACCACAAATACGTTCAAGAACCACATGCAGAAATGAGAAAATATCTGCTGGAGTTCCACAACATTTCCTGTGCTTTGTGGACTGAGTTTCTCCCCTTTTGTAAGACGCATTATCTGATTTAGTAACCTTGTTGTTCTGACATTGTTCTTCATATTTTTACCTGTATTTTATCTGCACAGGTCCAAAGAAATGAAAGGAAGGAAGGAAAGGCCATGTGTGGTTCTTACTGCTTTCCATGGTAAGTGCAGTCCCCAGAGGAAACCACTGAGCAGCACTGCTGTTTTTTCTGTTTTCTTGCAAGAGTTATTCTTTCCCTTTTAATGTCAGGGTTACAGAAAGAGAAGGAGAGGAAAAACAGAGGTATTTCAATCCCAGATGACTGAAATTATCAGGCCTGGGCCACACTTTGCTAGGAGCTTCCACCCAGTCTCCCACATGGGCAGCAGGGACCAAACACATGGGATAGGTTCCACCGATTTGGAAATGGAACAGCTGGAACATGAACCAGCACAAATATGGGTGGTTGGTGTCAAAGGGGTGGCTTTACTCATTGTGCCACAATGCCAGTCTCCTGTTCTGGTTTTTATTCATCTGGCAGTGAACTCTCACAGGCTAACATGCATTTGCAATACAATATTTATATTTTGAAACTTATTTTAACTGCATGCTATTATAAGTGAAGAATGGTTATTCTTCCATATTTAAATTCTTTGAATTTTTAGAATTTTGTGGAAATTGGCATTCAATTGTCTATAGACTGTCAGTAATATTCAATAAGACTATTAGTGATTGAGCTGTTTTGCCATTGCTGTCTTTATTGTCTGCCTGCTGCGCCATCTCTGTATCCTCAAGAGGGTCACAGACTTTTCATAAAAATAATCCTTGTGTTTTTTGAATGCTAGCAGCAGAAGGCCCAAGCACTCAGCACCACTGTTGCTTGCTTGATGTCCCTCACCAGGAAGGACTGAGAGAATTCCATGCTCTGGAGGAAATACCATCTCCCTAGCAGGGTAAGAGTGAGCCTCAGGCATGGATGCATTCCAGACTGCATCTCTGAACGGGCCTTGCTCAGACCCTCCTTAGTCCCCCCTCATCTATCTGTTGGGGTGACTCTTAGCTTGCCTTCAGGACAGGCCTGCCAGTCCCCTAAAAGGCTCCTGAGTTCCAGGTCATCCCTTCTGCTAATTCTGAGTCTAGTTCCCACTTGCCTTCTACTCTACACCAGTTGTCTCCAGCTCGGATTCCCTGATTTCTCCAGGCCCGGTGTGCTCCAGATCTCACACTCACCATCACCCACATCCTCGGAAGCCTAAGATTCATGTAATGAGGATCGCTTCTATGAAAAATGATGGAAAACTCACACTAAGAAAACTCTGCTTCCTGCAACCTTCTCATACAAGTTGACATTCTCTCACAGAACTCCAGACAGAGTAAGTCCTTGCTCTTCCTTTCAGATTCTATACTATTCTGTTTACTGCCCTCCGTTTTCATGTCCATCTGTGACAACCTCTTACTGATGTGGCCATATGGCCATCCCGAAGTGAGACTCGTTTTCCCGTGATCTTAGTTCCCCTCTCGTGTGTTAGCACTATCTGTAGTGTTGTTTATAAACACCTGCAGATGGAGTCTGACTTCCTCACTAAGCCAATTCTTCATTTTCCTTTTAAATGCCTTTAACCCAGTCTTTCTCTCCACATCTGTGCTGTTTGTTCATGCAACATGTGCACAGCATTCAGGAAAGCACATCCGCCTGCAAAATATGTGTAAGACATCCTTCAGTTGACTGGCCTGCCTTTGTCCAGCTCCTATTTAAAAACGATCGGAACCTGTAAGTCTCTCACCTCTCCTCCATCATGTGCTATCCCTACAGGCACTCAGCCTTCCCCCCCACCATTATGGCTTTCTAGTCACTTGTATAAGCCCTGTCATTCCCAAGGGAGGGAGGAGCAAGTGTATACACACAAACAGGTATACATCTGTCTACTCCCTTGAACCAGAAGGCCTAAATTGTCTTGTATCACTAGAATCTTGGCCTTCTTTGATTGAAACACTATTTTCTTATATCATGCAGGTACTTAGTACACCATGAACTTCATTCAGGTTCATATTTCCTAAATACTTGTGTGTGATGAATTTTGGAAATCTGATGTCTGTTCCAATCCAGGACACAGGGTGACAGGGCAAGACCTGCTCCAGCAAGGGCAGAGCCACCTTGGACACAGCCCCATGCCGAGCTCTCCAACGGGCTTCTCCAGTGTCACTCGGACTCAGGTATTTGTCTTTCAGAACAACTTTTTACTAGAAAAAAATTAAAAGTCCAACAGTCTTTGCTACAAGATTTTTAATGATCTGATTAAATTAGTTCTCTGAACAAAGGAAGTCGTGAGTACTAACAGAGAACTGCAAGCAGGAAATTGTACTTTATTGAGAAATCCATTTAAAAAGTACATCTGAAATGAAGATTAAGAATTAAAGAACAATTGCTAGATAAAATATTTTTACCAGAAAAAGGTAGTTCTCAAGGTAATAACTTCGATTAAAATATCTAAATGCTCATATAAACAGAACTGAAATTTCAGTCTCTGAATGTCTTCATATCAAAGTATAAAGTCAACAGATTTAGATAGGTTTTCATTTAGGAAATTTTAAGACTGTTTGCATGGGAGGTACTCTCTTAATTTGCCAGAGCTAAAAGAAGATGGCTGGGCCTGGCATGTTAGCCTCACGGCTGAGGTCCTCACCTTGCAAGTGCTAGGATCCCTATGGGCAGTGGTTCCAATCCCGGTGGCCTTGCTTGCGGCCTGGGAAAGCAGTTGAGAATGGCTCATAGCCTTGGGACCCTACATCTGCTTGGGAGACCCAGAGGCAGCTTAGGGCTCGTGGCTTCAGATTGGCTTAGCTCTGGCCATTGTGGCTGCTTGGGGATAGAAGATCTTCCTCTGTCTCTCCCCGCCCTCTCTCTTGCTATTTTAACCTACATTATAGCATCAATTCAAAACTTCTCTCTAGAGGGGGCTGTCACAAATGTTCCTCCAAGCAAAACCTCAAAGGCCATCATATTTCAGAAGTGCCATAGGTGAACATTTTTGTAGTGAGTGAAAGTAGTTTAGCAGGATTCTTGTACATAAGAGAAAGTTACCTGTGGTACCCCTATGGATTCTGAGAGAGCCGTTGTCCAGCACATTGTCCACATCTAAGAAGGATGATGTAGCAGTGCACTACAGTTTAGTTTTGAATTCCTCCTCATCCGAGCTCTTGGGACGTTGGTGTACCTCTTTGCACTCATTTGCCTTCTCTGTAACCTTGCTCTCCACGAGTTCAGTTCCTGGAGGGGCATCTTCCCCAGGCAGACGGCGGTTCTTCAGCAGGAAGAGGAGGCACGCGGCTGGAATGAAGCTGACTCCTCGCAGGGCTGCGGGCAACCCCAGGTAGATGTGTCTATTTTGAAAAAATACATATAATATTAAATCTGACACTAACGGTACGGTTAGTACAGACAAGGGTTCCTATTTTGCCCATGTTTTATTCCCTTAGCATGACAGCTGCTGGTTCCTGTAATGTCAGTCTTACGGGAGTAAGTCCGTTGTTCTCTCATTTCCAATGCTAGTTTTAAAAATTGTTGAGCAGTGCTCGCTTCGGCAGCACATATACTAAAAATTGTTGAGCAGAGATTCCATTCAGAAAAATCTAAATTTGCTCTTATATTTCTAGTTTTTTTGTGATGGTTTTACACTATTTGCATTGATTAGAACCTAGATTTCATACCAACAGTTATCGGCTTATTGTAGCATTTTTAGGAATGCTCAGTAGATTTGCTCTACTAATCATGTTAAATTCAATATGATAAAAACCTTTGAGCGTGGTGTAGGAGATCCTCTATGAGATCAAGTTCTCTGTTCTTAGTCCTAAATGTTTAAAATATCCTGCATCATTTTGCAGCTTGTTAGAGGAGCATCCCCATGTTTCCACACTTACCAGGCATTCGTAGGGTATAATGCAGGAGCAGGCTGTTTTCCCCCACACCGATGCATCCTTGGATTTGTAAAACATTGCATTTGCTACTTTTAGGTAGAATTTATACAGATATATATCTATCTCCCTACGATAGGGATAGATATGTATGTGTGTGTATCTATATATCTATAATATATATTATAGATATATATCTATATATCGTAATATATAGATATATAATATATAGATATATATCACATAGATAATATGATATATATATACACACACACCCCTGAGATAGGGAGATATATATACACACCTTAGGGATTATTATACATAATATATATACTACATACACTGCACATATTGTATATGTATAGTGTATATACAAAATGTATACTGTATACAACATTTACAATAAGGTGTGTGTGTGTGTATATATATATATCATATTGCCACCTTACATTCATTTATTGTGCTGACCTAAACTGGATATTAAGATGGTACTAATGGGTCAATTGAATTGAAACCCACATTGAGTTTCTGGCTTCAGCCTAGCCCCACTCAGACTCTGCCTTTTGGATGAACTAAAAATTAATGAATATGTTTTAAAATTCTAAAATAGGTTTTCCAAAAATGTATATTCTTGGGATGCTTTAAACAATGCTAATTTTTTACTAAAAGTAATCTTTTCTTACTGTGCCTTCAGAAAAAAGTTAATGCCAACTTAAAATCTAAACATCCAAAAAACATGAAAATAGAACAGCAGAATGAAAAAAAACTTTGATCAGAGAGACTCCCCGACGGTTGGTGACTGGGTATGCTAGTTGTGACCAGGGAAGGTGATGGGCACGAGACGAGGGAAGCACCTTCTCGGGGGACAGTTGGAAAGAAACCTGCAGAAGAGACACTGTGACCAAGCTTGAACACGGGGCCAGGTGGGACACACCATCGCAGATAGGATAATGGCCAACGTGTTCCATTTTGAGTACTGGGGACACGAGCTTTGGACTGGTGCTGGAGCAGGGGGCAGAGCACCCACATCTCATCTGGGGGAGAATCACATCTGTATGCCTCTATGTCCTGACCTAGGAGCCTGAACCAGTGAGGAGCCAGCATCATTTCAAAGTCGAAGGATGGTATAGCAGCCTTGGCGTGTGTGAAGAGCAAAGCCACAGGTAATAGTGCTTGACTTGGAAGCTTGTGGACTGCTGTGGCTTCAGGAGAAGTTTTCAGCCAAGCCAGGGAGTGTAGTGTCCCTCTGTTATCATGAGAGAAATGGCCACTGCTTTCCCCACCGTAGAGAGGGATGCCCAGACCTACTGGTCTAGAATGTGACCTAAAGGTCACTGAAAGTGGGCAGTGCTCTATCAGCGCCATTGACTGGGGGATACTGCATTTTGTGAAATATGTATGACTTATTTGTTTAAAATACAGATTCAGAAACAGGGGCTGCTACTACCTCATCTCCCCTGTATTACCATGGCATGTTTTCCTTTTTGCTTTATAAGTTTAACACTCCAATCAAATAATGATATTTCATAGAAAATAGAAGGAAAGGAAAAAATGAAAATCCTGCTATTACTCAGGAAAATATACAGTCTGTAAACAGTTATTCCAAAGATGTCAGTCTTTTATAAAGATTATATTTCTCCACACTGTGTATTATTTGTCATAGATCAGAGAACATACATTAGTCAAATAAGTCAGTGCCGAAAAGACTAAGTGTCTAACTTCATCCAGCTAGTTGCAAAAGACAGAGTTTCATAGTGTATGTGTACCACCATTTTCCTTATCCAGCCATTGTCGACAGGCATCTGTGTTTCGTATCTTAGCTGTTGTGAGCTGCACTGATTATAAACATGGAGGTAAAAATAACAATGTGCTGCTTCATTTGCAGATACTGCCAGGAATGGGGTGGCTGGGTCCTAATTTGAGATCTGAGAAATCTCTGTACTGTGTTCCGTTAATGCTGCCTTGTTTCCATGCCACCTTCTTTCCCCTCACAGCCTCTCCTGCATCAGCCCTCTGATTTCTGTAGGATACCCATTTTTACCTGGGTGAATAGGAACCTCACTGTGGTTTGCAGTCCCCAGGTAGGTAAACTGAGCATTTGTTCATATATCTGTTAGCTATTTGGAATTCATACAGTGAAAAGTGTCCATGTCTGTTGCCTATTTTCAGAACTGTGCCATTTTGCCATTGAATTTCTTGTTCTTTTTACATCCAGGATATTAATCCTCTATCAATGGCTTATGAGTCTTTCCAAAAAGTCAGCCTATGTCCATGGCAATGAAAGCAAGCAAACAAATCCCATCCTATCAAGCTAAAAAGTGGCTGCACTGCATCGGAAATCCTCAAAAACATGAGTTGGAAACAGAATGGTATAAAATATTGGTAAACTATACCACTGATAGGGGATTAATATCCTGGATGTATAATGAACTCCAGAAATGCAATAGCAGCAAAATAGTCTGATTATAGGCAAAGGACAAAAACAGACCATTTTCATTGTATGGATTTCAAGTGGCTAACAGACATAGGAATAACTGCTCAGTTTCTCTACCTACCTGGGAAAGGTGAATAGAAATCTCAGGGAGGTTCTAGCTCACCCATGCTTTAAGGCAAGAAAGCAAATGCAGAAAGCAAAGAGCAGTGAATGTTAGAGAGGATTTGGGGGAAAGGTTACCCGAAATCCCTGGTGATAGGAATGTAAGCTAGTGCAATTTTTTGGAGGTCAGTTTTGGGATTTGAATATAAATCTACATGACCCAGACATCTCACTCCTGGAATTACCCAAACAAGATGAAATCAGCATATGAAGAGTTGTTTGTGCTTCCAGCTCAATCTATAGCTCCTGTGATATAGAATTAACCCATATTTTCATCAGTTGATGACTGCATTAGGAAAATGTGGCATATACATACTATGGAATACTACCCCAGCCAGGAAAAAACTCGAGGCCTGTCTTTTGCAACAAAATGGTGAAAACTGAAAACCATTATTCTTAGATAAATAAGCCTGTCTCCTCAAAAAAAAAAAATGTGTTTCTCCTGATTTGTGCTAATACACAGGTTGCAAAAAAATAGAAGTATTGACATCTTAAGATTTGATTACTCTATACAGCCTCTCTGTATACTTTTAGGAACACTATATACTTCTGATTCGTTGAAATCTGTATGCAGTGGAGTATTAAGTGTCTGATCCTGAAGTGAAATGATAGGAAAGATGTTTTAAATGCACAGGAAGACAAAAGGACAGAGGGAGGCGAGGAGGAAACAAAGGCAGGGCAAAGGTTGGGTGAGGAGTGTCACTGCTGCTCCTAAACATGCAGTGACTAGTCAAATGTAGTTACTTCATATAAATAAAGTTTTAAATATTTTGCTTGAAATAACACCTAAATGAATACTCCTCATCCCCTCCAATGCCCTGTTTTGTAGAGTGTCAGCCTGATGTGGTGACGGGCACGAGCTGCGTGGGAGAACAGAAGCAGGTGGCGAGAGGAAATGAGGCTGCAGCCTGGCAAGGTGACCAGTGCAGGATGGAAGGGAGAGGGGCAGAACCCTGTCCTCAGGAAAGGCCGCTGTTCCAGAGCTGATACCTCCCTCGTGTGCTCTCTGCTCACAAGAGCCCAAAGTGTAGTTTGAACGGCTGCACAGGGAAACCCTTTTTGCTTATACTTACAAGCTTGAGAGACCGTGGGGAAACAAAGATCTAGCATGGTAAGGAACGGAGGTGAGTCGTCACTGTCTACTTTGAAAATCAACAACAGGCGTACTTGCCATGGACAAATTTTAAAAATGCAGTTAAGCTACAGTCTATGCTTGAAGTGCTAAGGAAATAGTACCTTTACCTGAAATTAATGGAGTCATAAAACCTGCATGCTCCTGGCTCACCACACTTCAGAGTTCCCCACTGTAAACACGTGGAATCAATCAAAGCTCCAAAATAGATTGGTGCAGGAATTCCAGCTGCAGTTAGGAAAGGAAGGGAAAACATCAACAAAGTGATTAAGACAATGTACCTTAAGTTTCCCTATTTGTACATCAAATGAAGTTTAACATGATAAAAATGTATTAAATTTTCTTTCAGCAATTATAAATTTTACCATAAAGTTTGTACATTATTTTATTCATCAAATTAGTCTTCATAAAGTTGATGCAAAAATCCTTAATTGACTATTTTACATGCTATATGTTTTCTTAAGTGTTTGGGGACAGTACTGAGTACATATCAAGAAATAATTTCCTGTTCATTTTCTTTTCAGGTCTCTGATAAGAAAATGGGGTATTTGGTCAGAACAACATTCCAAGGACAGAGGAGACCCTCGCTTATCTTAGGTACTTCATTTGCATACTAATTGCAAGATGCTTTTTACAAACAAGGGATTTTTGCTAGAATATTATCTTAAGGTGACATTTCATTTACTTAATACTGGCCTGATTTGATAGTGAAAAAATATCTATTTTTACCAAATACTCTTGTGCAAAATGCATGGACCCCCACACCAAGGGACTTCTCTTCAGAACTGATGCACCTAGAAAATAAATTTTTAAACAAACGAAAACATTTAGCAACTACTATAATCTCCTTTTAGACTTCTCGTGTGCTAGTAACGTGGAGCATCAGAAAATCTACTTGGGTCGTTATTACTTGTAGCTGACACCCAGGAGCCCCATTTCTGATCATTGGCCTTCAGAAAAATAGCAATATTTGAGAAAACTTCATCTCTACTCCAATAGCCTATGGTGAGTGGTAGTTCCTGATTTTGAAGGATGATTCAGCTCAGAGTAAGAACAATGCAGTTCCAGCCATGTTCAGATGAACAAAGTGAAGGAAAATTGAGAAATTACAAACATAGGAAAACAAAAACTCAGATTAGAGGTTAGAAAGCCAAAGCAACCTATTTTAATTCCAGTAGTTACAGAGAGAATCTTCCATTGTCTCCAAAAATTGTCCTTTTTCCGCTGTTGCCTAGAAATTCCTGTAAATGAAACGGAGACCACAATGCTCCCAGCAGGCTTTTCGCTGTCTCATTCAGCAGCGTCATTCAACCTGCCTGGAAATGTTCCTGTATTAGCTAATTTCCTTCCATCTCCCTGATAACTCAAAAGCAAGAAAATTAAGGTACCTTTCTTCTCAAAAAGCGATTATGCATTTTTACAAGTTGCTACAATTGACTGGCATTTTCTCGGCTCAGGTGCCTTCCTGGATTGACTGCTGTGAATGTGTAAGTGGAACAGTTGATCCAGACACTACCTGATAGAGAACTTGTCAAAATGCACTCATAATCTCAGAAAGGATGAACCTCCTGGTGATACAGCATGATCCTTGCAGTCACCTCATTACCTTTGAATACAGGAACTGAATAATTTTTCTTGCATAATATAGTACCTTATGATCTCATATAAATGCATAAATTATAATAGTTCCAAAGTTACTAGCAACGTGTTCAAGGTGTTTCATGATTGGACATTATTAAGAGCATTCATTTCTACAAACCAAAAATCAAAAGGAAACATGTAGGCATTGTAATGTGGTAGAGTAAGCCACCACCTGCAGTGCTAGTACCCCACAGGAGCAATGGTTCTAGCCCCACCTTTTCCACAGGAGATCCAGAAACCTGCTAATGTGCCTAAGACAGCAAGGCAAAATGATGCGAGCACGCGGGTCCCTGCACCCTCGTGGGAGACGTCGAAGGGACTCCAGGCGCCTGGCCTCAGCCTGGCCCAGCACCGACAGCTGTGGCAACCTCGGGAGCAGACAAACACTACCCCCTGTATCTCCTCTTTCTTTGTAACTATGTCTTTCAATCAAATAAATACATCTTTAAAATAAAGGAAAAAGATTCAACAGAAATTAAACGTTATTCATAATTGACAAAAATAGATATGTACATACTTCCACAATTATGGTAGAACAATCTGTGATAATATAGAAAAGATAAGTACATCTATATGAAAAAAGGAAGGATTTAAACACTCAAACATGATCGATCTTAGCAAGAAATAAGAAAACAAAGCATGATCAAATGTTCATCTTGTTACTAATGCAGAATTTTTTAAAATGAGAAAAGCATGTGATTAAACATAACAGATTAACTATTTTACAAATACAGCTTTCAAAGACTCCAGAAGGAAAAGTCCAACACATACAATGGCAATTTTTTTAAAAGAGTAAAAGTGAGCCCTACCGCAATCATTAGAGTAATTCAACAAATATATTTATACTCACCAATCTCAGGTTAAAAAAAAATCAGATCTAGTAGGTTGTGAAGAGAATTGGGAGGATGAAGATAAAAATATGTAACAGTTATGCCCTAAAGCAAAAGAAATCTAGAATTGCAATTATATACAAAACTCAGTATCGACTCCTGGTAATAGTAACAGCACAGTGCTAAAACAGTCAATCTAGGTGAATGAGGAACACTAGAGCAAGCACAGAGGAGACTTTTTGAAAGCACAGGATGAAAATCCTACATGTAATGATTAACACAAAACTGCTCCTCCTCTCCTGTCTTCCTGCCTCTGCTGTGAAGGCTGCAATTCCTGTCTGTACCCCCAATAAAAGGAGGCCTCCCAATGCCAAAGATAGATACACTTGGGCAGCAGGATACTAGATGCTCCATCTTTGCTCGTACCTGCAATGCCGTGAAACAAAGAGCAGAAAGCTAAACTTGTAAACTTCAGCAAACTGAAGGAATGTGTGCTGTGGCATTATGGGGGGAAATGGTGGGACAGGAACTGGGACCGGGGAAGGGGAGGGAATGGGGAGAATCTATCCCTACAAAACTGTTATGGAAAAGAATAAAAAGATCTATCAATAGCCTTATTTCACTAGGTTCAACTGTTGAATAGAAAATCCAGGGGAAGGAGCTGTGATGGCGTTTGTTGTCACTCAGGGTGCACCTGTTCTGTAGCAGAGTGCTGGTTTGAGTCCCAGATACTCAGTCTCTGATCCACCACCCTGCTCACTGGTGTACCTGGGAAAACAGTGGCAAGTGACTCAACAGCTCGGGTCCCTGCTACCCTCCTGGCAAACTCAGATGAAGTTCCAGCTCTTCTCTTCTACCTGGCCCCAACTCAACTGCTGCAGCCACGTGGGGAGGGAACAGGCAGGGGGAAGACGTCATTCTGTTCCTCCCTCTGTCACTCTGCCTTCAAATAAACAATAAATAAAGCACTTCAAAATTAATAATTGCTTTCTAGATGAACAATAAACCTTATTAAGTACAATACCTATATTATTATTAAAAACACAGAAGCTAAAAAGGCAACTATATACTAAAATCTCAGCTGAACATACTAATGCAAAAATTTTATATGGTTTCCCCTAATGGAAAATATAGTTGTAGAAGTTGGAAGAAACATTTGAAAGTCTAAGATGTGTAAGGTCTGGAAGAGATAAACTCTTCATATTTAGAAATAAAAACCTACCTAGAAAAAAAAATCAAACTCAGCAGATTTTTAGATTAGAAGAGTGATGAGTAATCAGCAAATTTGAAAAAGTCAGCATTTCTCCAGGTCAGCCAAACAACCGGAAAATATAGGCAAAAATGCCACAGAACAACACATGTGACCTTCCATATACATGTTTATACAAAATGGTGTAAATTTATCATTACAATTAAATATATAATTAAAAACATGGAAAGAATAAAGCTGTAAATCTTGCAACATAAACTTAAGATGACATGTCTATAAACAAAGGATGTGAAAATCTTATCTAAGAAGTTAATTTTTCCATATGAAACACCACAGACACACAACTGTGAACACCCAAACCCTAGGACAAGGAAATTGTTCCATTTTGATTTCACGAGCTTTATGATTTCATTTTATAGATGCCATGGAGAAAGTTACAAAGAAAGGTGACTTACAGGAGACAGTACTGTATCAGTCTGCCCGGTGACTTACAATTGGCGTAAGCCATGTATGTGTGTTCCCACGTGACACAGGAGATGTCAACTCGGCTCTAAGAGACTGTGGATGTGTGAGGAGGGTCCCTTTCCATTATTTGCTGCACTCTGCATTTCAACAAAGTTTAGTGCAAAAGGCTTAACGTACAAAGGTGCTTCTAACAACTTATGGGAAATGGGCAACTCACAGTATCTTTTAATCCTATTTTTCTGTGACTTTGTTGAAGTCCTCTCATACACCAAAACATCGAGCCGGTTTCTTAGATTGATGAGTTCCAAGTGGCTTTCCTAGAAAACGTTACCTTAAAACATGATCAGAAAGAAATTTAAATCAAGAAAATAGTTCTTGTACCTCAGGAGGACCATATATCCAGGAATGGCAGCTAAGGAGTAGATGAAGCTGCTAGTGGCCGATAAGATTAAGAAGTACTGCAGCATCATGGAGCAGTCGGGTCCCTTGTTGCACAGCCCAAGAACTGCAGAGGAGTTTCCTGTCAGTTGAATGCAGCTACAATTTTTGAACACCTGCCAAAAAATAACACATTTGTTATGTAAGGATGCCAACACTTGAGCCCAAATTTCTAGCTTATTCCAGATAGCCAGTTGCTCAAGGTAGAGACTGTCAATTCCCTTCCATCTATTTTAAAATTATCTTTATTATTAGAATATAGTTTGAAAGGCATAGGGGAAAGCCACAGAGAAGGAAGAGGCAAAAAGACAGTCACCCCTCTGCCTGCTAGTTCAGTCCATGAACGGCCACGCAGCCAGGGCTGGGCCAAGCTAAAGCCTCAGGCCCGGTCCGAGTCTGCCCCACGGGCCGAATGTACACAAGTCCTTACACCGTCACCTGCTACCTTCCAGGGTATACAGCATCAGGAAGGCACAACTGCAGGTGATGCCAGGACACAAGCCCAGCCATCCTGATCATACGGGCATCCCACCCAGAGCCGGATGCCTGCTCCTAGCCCCAAACCTGTGTGCCAAGATTTCCAAGTAAAATATAAAAATGTCTTTCACTAAAAATGACAGTTTTTCTAAGTATTTGGGGTAATTTTGTGAAAGCTCAGCTCTCCAAAATGGGCACCATTTTTAAACAAGTGCTCTGGTGACAGCATAAAGCATGACAAACACAATTTGTTTCACGCATGCCCACAAAAAATCCAAGTTTTATTTCAAAAATATACTTAAGTCAAAAATAAAGACAAACTTTTGAATTACTGTAGGATTCCAGACCTTAAAATAATCAGTTTAAAATTTAATCACTGAACAAATTTATAAAAAGTATATTTTTGAAATCTGAAAATCTAATCTTACCATTTCACTGTACTGTCAGAACGGAAAAACACAAAAATTCCCAAGACACATAGCTGGAGAAAAAGACAAGTACCAAAGAAATTAGCTGGATGATCAATAGAAAAGCTTCCAATTTTGTTTCAATGAAGAAAAATTCTGAGTGCAGAATATTTTTACCCAGCACTTTTTACGTAGTAATCTGAACTCTGAAGCTCAGACCAATGCTCAGACACAACGAAGGTTTTATGTAACAGCTAGCAACTAAAAACTGTCAGGTGAGCATAGAAAATCTAATCTAATTTTGCCCACACAATTATTTTGATTTGGAGGAAAGATCAATTTCACTTTCTATCAACTCTAGTTCATAGCTAGAAAGCACCATGGCAGTCACAGAACGAAGTGTGTGGTAATCACTTCATACCACACGCATCAAACTATAAAATGGGGGCCGGCTCAACAGGTTAATCCTCCACCTGCAAGTGCTGACATCCCATATTGGCACCAACTCATGTTTTAGCTGCTCTATTTCCCATCCATCTCCCTGCTTATGGCCTGAGAAAGCAGTGGAGGATGGCCCAAAGTCTTGGGACCCTGCATCTGTGTTGGAGTCCTGAAGGAAGTTCCTAGCTCCTGACTTCACATCAGCTCAGCTCTGACCACTTGGGCCATTTGGGGAGTGAATCAACAAGTGGAGTATCTTTTTGTCTCTCCTCTCTATAAATCTACCTTTCTGATAAAAATAAACCTTTAAAAAAATCAAAATGATACAGATAGAGACAATTTTTATTCTATCTCAATAAAGTTGGGGGTGGGAGTGGGGAACAAAAGCCAATAGAATATGCTACCATATTTATTCCTGTTCCAATGGATGACTCGCAACCAGCAAGGCAGGCTGACATATAGGACAAGCCATTGTCTCCACACACAGGGTCCCATATTGTGGCTGGGCAGTTGCAATCCTTATTGCAGTCAGCAAAGATGTTATTTCCTGCATATAAATCTTTTGGAATTCTGAAATGATTTAAAACAGTGTGGATATTGAAAACTTTTCAAACATTTTTTATTGCAACCCCAAATTACATTTCCCTGCCTTCTCCTCTCCTTCCCAAAAAGCAGAAACCTTCCAACTGTCAGTGCGTGGCCTGCAAAATACAGCTCTGTCATAGTGAAGGAACTGCTTTGGTGACCACACAGTCGCTTTGCCAGTGATGTATCACTGAGAGATGGCCCCAGCAAGGAGCCCTGAGTGCCTATTGTCGAGGACAGAAACTAAATACAATGGACAGTAACCAGAGCGAGCTAATTGGAGCATCCGAAATCTTTCATGATGTAGACAACACATTCAAGGGCACAAGTAACACTTAATTACACAAATTCACGCTCCCAGTAGTGAGAGCAGCCCAGCTTCCAGGATAGGGTTAAGGCAGCCTTGGAGGACAGGCCTACAAGTCAGTTCTCACGGAATCCTGCCGCACAGAGCTCTGGGAAAGGGCTTGATGGACAGGAAGACTCTACCCTACTCTCCAGCTTTGTCCATTTGCCTCTGAATTTCAATTTCTTCATCTGTCACATGGAAGTAATGACGTCTATCTTAAATGGAATTTTAAAGACTAAAATCAGAAAATACATGTCAAATTACCTTGATTTTCTGTTTGGAATTACTGCCATCTTCTAAGTCTCAATGATGTCAAAGTCATATTTTAGAATGCCCTTCATTTCATTTTAACTGATAAAGTGCTTATCTAAATATGTTCTATCAGCAATTTTTAAAAATTTACATCACTATGGAAAATCTATACTCAATCCTCAAAAATACAAAATTTAAACCTGTTAAGTAATTTTGATATAACTATGCAAATGAATACTGTGTGTTAACACATCACATAGTAATTTATGCAAAGTTACATATTAGTTTATCATGTTATCCTACAACAAATTAACACTTTGGGGACCACACAGTCAATTCGTAATGTGATCCACTTATGGCAGTTTAAAACCCATGGATAACGCATCCTGATGTGGACCAGCTGGTTTCTCTGATACTCTTTAATGTCCACTCCTACACAAGCACATGTACAAAATAATGAACTCCCAACTTCCTTGATAAGCTTTGAACTCGAATGGATTGAGTTACAAATGACAAAAAGCAACATAAAGGAAGACTACAGATTGCTACCATTAACATCGATGAGCAAATCACTTGATCATGCAAAACTATCCAGTAAAAGCTACTATTAAGTGCTTATTGAAAATGTATGACATCAGAGAACAACATACCCTTCGTAGGAGGTGGTTAAACCAGCAACCGATGAATTATCGCAAGTCATGAGAAAGCATAAATAGTACAACAAATATTCAAGTAAGGCTAACCAGAATCCTATATGGGCAGCTTGTTTGACAGTAATCTTGAATTTCTTCATGAGTAAACCACCAGCTATGTATCCAAAACATATTGGAGGTAAGTTATAAATACCTATAAAATACAGTTAAAATATTATTCACAAAATGTATTAGCAAAAGAACAGATATGTTAACATTTTGTCTAATTATGTGTTACCTAAGTCACACACATTTTACGTTTTATGTAACAAATTATTTAGGTCCTAACCAAGATGAGGAAGGCTGAGTTAATTTGAATTTCACGTGGTTATACATTGCATGCAGGGAGATTTTCAAATGCCCATCTTCTGGAAGGCTGTTGCTACTGTCATTCATTTCCTTAAGTGAGGTAGGTGTAACTCTAGGAGGCAGGTCAGGATCCAAGTAGCAAGGCCAAGGCAAAGCGTGCATGTGCGTGCATGCGTGTGCATGTGCGTGCGTGTGTGTACGTGCGCGTGTCAGTTCTTTGTCTACACTGTGTTTGTCAAGCACCTGCTGAGCCTCTTCCTCTCAAGAATATTTACATTTCCCATCTTGTTACTCCTAACCACCATTCTTCTTTTCCCTAACCTCCACCAGGAAAAAAAGCACATCTCTACTTTGTACTTTTTAACGCTAACAGTGTCACATTTTGGGGAAAGCCAATTAAAAATCCATCCCAAAATCCCATATGAGATTCTGATTTGAGTCCTGGATAGACTATTGTCCCTTAGGCTTCTTCATAGTCAGGATGTAGTCAGTTTAGGATACCAGCATTTCCAACGATGAAAAGATTCCAAGAACAAAACAAAAACAGAAATAAGGTCAGATAGATCTATTGGTGAGTGTAGTTACCAGACAACGAAATGTGGCTGCAGAGACCACAGAGACCACCAGGGGGAGCAGGTGCAAAGGAGATACTTGGGACCCTAGAACTAGCACCCAGAGTGAAACCCCAGAGTAAAACGCAGAATCCTGAAGAGTTACTTCTGTATTTCTTTTTAAATCAATGGATTGACTGTCTAGAGACGAGATTTCCCCATGATTTCCACGAATATTATGAATTGCATTCTGACAGGAGAGAGGGCTGGAAGAGAATGTCAGCATATTTCTGGCTGCTGCTCTTCCCTACTCTTGATTTCTCTCGAGAGTGTAAGGACAAAACATCCCAGACACCAAAATACACTGAAAGATTTCAATTCAGAAATTTTCCAAGTCATGGTCCTCAGTTCTCAGGGCGGGGAGGAGAACAAGATTGTCACGCAGTAACAAACATACCAATTAAAAAGATGGCCTCTGAAGTTGATTTTCCATATTGCTGCTCCATATATTTGGGCATGAAAGAGAACATATTAACAAATGCATTGAACTGTATCACACTTATAACTATGAAAAGCATGTAAATTGGATTGCAGAGGAGACTTTTCATGAATGGCAAAAAATCTGAAATAAAAGAAGAAGCATTATTTTGCATTTTGTGATTTGCCGTTTTCTGAATGCTCTCCTGTCCTCGTCCTATGCTTTTCTTACGAATTCAGATATGTGCTCCTTCAGCTAACCCCGCTCCCCCACAGCCAGTTGCATCACTGTTCTGCAGTTTCCAGAATCCAGCGCCTTACTGACTGGGTAGGACCACGACACAACACCCCTGCCTTTACTAAGTCACCTCTGTATTCCAGAACATCCTTATCAAGTGACCAAAATAGCGCTGTGTCCGCACGACTCTCCCTTGCCCCCTTCTCTTTCTACAAATAGCCCCCTTCCCCAGAGATTATATACCAGGAAAGGTACTGCTTCTGTTTTCTGAAATCTGGGTAGAAAATAATTAATAGAGTTATGCTCAATACTGATATAACTACTCTTAATGAGTTAAAATTTCCATATATGTGTGTATATATGTATGTATATAAATGTGTAATATATATATATGAGATGAATATAAACTTGTTCAGACCAGTAAGTTTGGTGATTCTGCTGAGCAGTGGACAAGAAGCTCCTTAGAACCACCTGCATATATTTGAAGGAACACCCAACAGCTGGTCTCACTCCAGAGATGTCCATTCATTTGGGTCACGCAAATGATCATGTCAGTCATTTCATGGAAACTTTTACCTGCTTGAAATGCTCAGAGCCATATTTTTGGACTGTCCCTAGTAAATGTGCTTAGTCACATGGTAGCCATTTGGACCCAAATTCTCACTTCTAATTTCTTCTCACTTTTCCTTTGTTCAAATTCTCTACTTTGATTCCTTTCTTTTGCACTATGCTGGTTGGCTTAATAAACTGCCTGAAATGCATTCTGAAACAAAGTATCAACATATAACCAGTCTGGAAGAGGAGAAAGTATACAGCTTAATGCAGTAAATTGAACTCTAATCATAGAAGTCCTTTAAATGAATAAAGTCCATGCTGGGGACACAATTGTGATTAGAGGTCTTCCTTTCTTTTTTTTTTTTTTTTTTTGAGAAGCAGAAAAGCCAAGACAGAAAGGATGCACAAAGAGGCATCTCCCATCCACTGACACACTCGTCAATTTCCTGTCATAATCAGAATTGGTCCAGACTGAAGCCAGGAGCACAGAATTCAATCTGAGCCTCCTACGTTGGGGACAGAGACCCAACTACTAGAGCCACCACTTGATACCTCCTAGGTACACAGCAGCACGATGCTGAAATCAGAGTGGTTCTGAGAGTTAGACCCAGACACGCTCATAGGGGATGCGGATATCCCAAAGAGGGTCTCTGTACTGCTGTACCCATGCCTGCCTCTGAAACTTCACTATTGCCAACACCCCATCTTCATGGATGTGTCTTAGTAGGTCACATTTATTTTCTATGTGTCTCATTATTAGCTAAGCTCTTTCCATCGGCTGGCTCACTCCCATCAAATGGGAAGGCAGGAACCAGGTGCTTCTCCCAGGTCTCCCACATGGGTGCCGAGGTTCAAGGGCGGGGGCCTTCCTCTGCCGCCTTCACAGTCACATTGGCAGGGAGCTCAATTAGAAGCCAGGACTCTCACTGGCACAGATATGGGGGGGAAGAATCAGTGCATTACCACTACATCACATGTCAGTCTTTCCTAGGTTTGAACACCAGCCTTGCAGAGAACAGATATTACTGTGTTTAGATCCTCTGCGCAGCCCTATCAGCCCTCTGAGCAGAGCTGTTCACATCAGGAAGAACTAGCAGCCTTCTTTATTGCTTTTTAATGATCCGAGAAGTACTATGTTACATTCAGTTATAGTTTCTGTGAATTTATAATTGTGAGCCAAAATTGTGAAAATGTGTATTATAATTTGTGTCAACAGAAATAGCAAATCATCAATGAAAACACTAGTAGCAATAACAATAGGTGTGGCAGGATTCCTTATACCTTCACACAACCACTCAATAATAAAGACATTGATTCTCATTGACAGATAAGGAAACTGAGTTCCTCCCTACTTGGTAAAACAAACACTCCTAAGAATTTTTGCGGAAAGGTCATTTGGCCTAGCCATTAATATGGCCACATCGCAGAACCCTGCTTGTGTTCCAGTTCCAGCTGGGTTTGCTATTCCAAATTCCTGCTAGTGTGTGTACCCTAGGAGGTAGCAAGTTCCTGGCTCCATGCAGACCCAGCATGGTAATATATATAATCACAGAACACACACACATTTCCCGTACAAAGCTGCCGTATATGTTTTCTGACTTTAGCTTCCAGAAAGCTCACCACTAAGCAAACATGTTGGTGACAGAATTATACTACCTGCCTTAACCATGTGCATTTTTGTTACTTAGAATTACATATTAGTTTACTCATTTATTATTTTTTTAAATTATACTTAGGTTTTTCATAAAACATGTTTGGAAAAACAGGCAAAAATAAGCGAATGTTTAAATTTCCAGACTGGAATACAGGCTTTAAGTAAATGCTGATCTGAGATAAGCAAGTTTCCAAATTGAATCCAACTGCTACGTCTAAGCAGCAGCACAGGAAGAATCAAACTGCTTCGACCAAGCTGACTGCAGAGTGTTGATGACAATATTAACACAGCATGGCATGTTATAGTGTTAGACTCAAATACAGGCATATTTATATAACATACAAAAAAAGTATAGAACATTTTAAATTTTCATATTTGCCTTTAGTGATTCCAGGCTTCTCCTTTTTAATGTCTTCGGTTTGTTTCTCTTCTTTATGATTCTGAATGCTGTCAGCGCTGCCCTCTAGTCCTTCCTTTGGAAGCGTTTTGGGCAAAAAGAAAAAGGGAATGGCAGTGAGTACATTCACTCCTGCACAAATCAAAAAGCCAAACCACCATGCTCCAACCCAGCGAGTATCAGTCGGAGTTATGGTCAGATCATCTGTAAAGAAATGCACACATTTTGATTAGTTTGTGTCATTATTTCCTATATGAAGTAAATTATTAAAATGTTAATCCTTAGGTTTTATCCAAGTATAGAACTTTCATGCAACTCAGACTTTAGTAAACTTTTATGACAATAGTATTAAAAATACTGTCCAGCAATTAATTTGAGTAATTCTCTAATCTTGTAAGAAATTAAAAAGTAGATGTTTTATAAATAATTAAAACTTCATTTTTTTCTACTTAATACTTAAAGGAACTCAAACATATTATCAAATGTTTAGAAACCAAGACGTATGACTGAATGCCATTTTGAGTTGGAAGATCAACAGTATTTTTTCCTGTAATGCTTATTAGCTTTCAATATTTAAAGAGCTATTTAAACACCTCTGTTTTAGTGGGCGTACTTGTAGAGACAGCCTGTCCTGCTGATGACCAAATAAGCCAATGATACATGTGATTATGTATCTCGGAAGCTTGGCACACTCGAGACAACATACAAATACATTTCTTGAATCACCTGTGTTGACAGATCCAGTGTCCACGTAAACATTGGCGCAAAACGATGCTAACAGAAGTCCAATCAAAGGGCCAATGACAGCTCCTGTCTCTATAAATCCTAAAGGTGAATAAAAATAAAACACTGCAGCACACAAACATACCCACAGAAAGTTTTAGTTCCAGGAAAAGTCTGAATGTTGGATTATTTTTTACTTCATAATCCAATTTCTAAGGAAATCAAGATTCATTTATATGATTTTTAAACATTTTTTTTTACCATTTATGTAACATTTGTAGAATCAAACATAACCTAATATTGTGATCTCTAAACCTCCAAATTTGCTCTCATGCTGGAGCAGCATAGACAATCCCAACAAAATCACACGCTTAGCAAATGTGAAATGAAATATCTGGTGTTTGACCAGTAAATATTAGTTGAGTTAATGGAGCAAATGGTTCTGCTACAGTGCATGTGTCAGAACTGGGCCTCCTCAGTGGCTCAGATGGAGCAGTGGACAGCATATGTTGATGCACATGAAGGTTATGGCAGTACACTGGAGCCTGCAGAGGACACCTGGTACCATGACAGAGGACAGAACAGAGAACAGAACAAATCAACTAGCCCAGCAAAGAGATGGCAGTGAATACCTGGGCAAACACAGACTCTAAAGTGGACTATGTCAGCAATACAGAACTGCTGAACTATCGAAACCACTTGAGCAGGACCTTCAGACATGCCCCACACCGGGCACCCTGGGGTGGCTGGGAGCCTGGGTTTCTCCCTCTTCCCCAGATACAGGAAGGAGAAAACAGAATGTGAAAACCATGTTCTCACCCACTTTCCTCTAACCCTTGATCCTCTACACCCTAATCAAATATATAAAAATTATCAAAAATAAAATTTATACAATAGAAAATAAGAAAATTTGTTCAGAGTTTCAAGGGTTAGCCAAACCTAAATAGACAGGAATTTCTCATGCCCACCTCGTTCACCTCTGAGGCTGTGCCATCCTCGGCATTCCCTCTGTGTACATAGTCCCATAGGCAGTCATTCCTGCAGATCTCAAATCTACCTGCTTTCTTTCCTTTCCCTACACTCCGTGTTCATGTCCTCATCTTTCTTCACTACAATCCCTTCATGTTCTGCTCAAAATATTTATGCTGTAAAATGGCACGAGCGATCTCTTGATCTTTTCAGCACTAATCCAGTGTCCTGCCAAGTTTGATACTCCAGAACTCCAGGTTTTCCGCCCGAAAGCTTTTTCACTTTCACCCTAAGACTTTCCCAAACTCTTACTAATGTACTGGCTTACTTTCCCCTTCTCACTATCATTTCTTAGGTAGTTCTTCCTGCTGTTCTCCCCACTGGGCGGAAGGATATTACAATAGTCAGATAATCTTTTGAGGCAACCTCATTTTTCCTTCTTGGACTCATTTATTGTCTTTGCACAGACAATTTTTGAACTTTATATCCAACTTTTCTGTTCTTTTCTAAACAACTGCCAACTGTTTTCTCGTTGTGTAGCTATCTGATTTACAGTTATTTTTACATACACATGCATGCATGCTTATCTGTATGTGTATAGAAACATAATACTATTATTAATAATCATCTAATTTTTACCTCATAATTTTACAGAGACAATAATTTATTCATCTTAGTACATGTAGTTATCACAGAAGTGGTCAGGATCTCTCGCCATCAGGAAAATACAAATAAACACCATACTGAGGTTTCACCTTCCCCCACTAAGAATGGATATCGCCCCCAAATCACAACACAATCAATGGCGGCCAGGGCACAGGGGAAAGGTTCCCCATCTCACTGCTGGTGGGAAGGTAAGCTATTATAGCCACTTTGGAGGATGTGGCGATCTCACAGATTTCTGAAAATAGATCTACCATAGGACATAGTTACCCCAATCCTGGGAATTTATGCAAAATAAATGAAATCAACATGAGAGAGCTTTTTGCTCCATTCATCAAACTTTTGTTGATGTATAATGTGTATTCTGGAATTCATGTAGAGTTTAAATTAACTGATTTCTACCTTAAAGGAACTTAATATCCTAGCAAAAGAACTAAGGCAGATTTCAAAAGCTTACCAATGTATAAAGGAGAGTTTTCAGACTTGGCAAAATCTTCTATATAGGAAATACCTAAAGGCATAATGGGAGTTTCACCCACTCCACGTATAATGTTTCCTACCAGCACATACACCCACATGAAAGAGTGTACTTCCTTCACACATTCTGCATTAAAACAAAAGGAGACACTGCGTTAGTGTTTTCATGGTAAAGTACTAGTTACAAGTAATTCTGGTTTTCATGTAAACATTTCCGTTATCACATGAGCTGGGTATCCACTTGGAAACAAGTTCACCTTTTTATGCCAGCAATGAATCAATGGGCCATTCCTGCTATATTTTTTGACATAGTTGAGTACAGACACATGTACATGGTGTTGATTTGACTAGAGCCAATTCCTATTGATCTGCACAAGATGAGTGTGCCCATTTATTCCCCATTTTGTGTTTAGTGATAACACATTGTTAGTTGCATAATACTTACACTATGGAAATTGGCAAGCATTAAATATCAGAAAACCTCTCCAACTTCCCAGAGGTTCAGTTTCAGAGCAGTTGAACTAATTCAGTTTAACCTGCTGGGAGTTGTACCCTGTCCTAATAGAACTTTGGGAACAAAAACAAAACACAGCACACACACATCTCTCCTTAAAGTTGATAATAAAATTTTAAAAATGTTAACAGGTCTCACTGAAGATTAATTTCTCTCCAGCTCTGTTTATTGAAATTAAGTAATGACTCTATACAGCCTGTTATCCAAATATACCAAGAGCCAAAAAATATTTTTTAATGAAGAAATCCACCTGAGTTCTTGAAGCACCAGCTGCATAGCAGAATAACAAAGAGAAGGCCAAAGGGAATTAAAAGGAAACAAAAATGGAGATTTCTGAAGGCTAATAACTTCCTCTTCTCCATTGTTGCTTTAAGCCAAAATATTAGCCAGTATAGCTATGCAGAGAGTACAGGAGAGATACCGAATGTGAGTTTTCAGGAAAACATTGTAAATCTTCTACCGAACTGCAAACAGTGGTGACAGGGAAATGGGGGGATTTAGAGATGAACTCTTGGGAGCACTTATTGTTTCCAACATTAAAAGGCAGATGTACTGCTATATGCTAATCACATGTGTGAGAGTCATGGTACAGCCATACCCAGAAATTTCCTGTGATATATATCGTATAGTCATACTCATTCCATGTTAAGCATTCAGATTTTCTATGTTAAGCATAATTTGCGTTGGGAGATTGTAGATAAACTCTAGACCTTTTTTAGGGGCAGAAAAAAAAAAAGAATCAAACAATGGAAGACAGTGCAACTTCTGAGAAATAAGCTCAAAGAGGAAGTCTCCAACGGACCCACCACCAGGCAGGATGGCATCTGGATCAGACTCCCACATCACTAATGGCTCCACGGAGGAATAGGGCACAATGCTCATGTCAATGGTTTACACTGTTATCCTTGGGAGAACCTAGGCGTACAGCTGCTCTGCAATGCTGAGGCTGTTTTCCTTTCCTCTGATTCTATTCAAAATTCCCATCCTTTGGAACCATGGCAATCTCCACTGGCATGAATCCAGTAGCAAATGACCCTACACAGGTCAGAGAAATCTGGCTTGAGGAGTACCAGCAGCGTTGCCCCCAGTCTAAATAGAGTCCCTTAGCATTGCAGGAGCAGAGTCTGAAATGTTGCTGCCAGGGCCTACAGGAAGCTAGAAGCAGCACTGTGACTGTTTGGGATTGTAAGGTTGCGCCTCTGGTGAAGAGGCAACAGGGGCCAAAAAGACAAGCTCTAGTTCAGCTGAAAGGGAATGGAGCACTGCACAATCACAGCATGCTCTCTTATCCTAGTGCAGGCGTTCGGTTATGCAGCACAAATCTGTTAGATTCTGTTTGCTGTCTCCTACTTCCACAAGCATAAACCTCTTAAGATGATATTCTCTGAGAGATTCTGTAGTAGCTCTTGGTGTATGTATGACTCATTTTTTTTAAAGATTTATTTTTATTATTTTTTCATTGGAAAGGCGGATATACAGAGAGGAGAGACAGAGAGGAAGATCCTCCGTCCGATGATTCACTCCCCAAGTGAGCGCAACGGGCCGATACTATGCCGATCTGAAGCCAGGAGCCTCTTCCGGGTCTCCTATGCGGGTGCAGGGTCCCAAAGCTTTGGGCCGTCCTCGACTGCTTTCCCAGGCCACAGGCAGGGAGCTGGAAGGGAAGCGGGGCTGCCGGGATTAGAACCGGCGCCCATATGGGACCCGGGCGTGCAAGGCGAGGACTTTTAACCACTTGCGCCACCGCGCCGGGCCCATGATGTATGACTCATTTTTAAATTAGCTATTTTAAGATACAGAATGTAAGAGGAGCAGCCGGCACAAAGGTGTAGCATGTGAATTTTGCACCCGTGGTGTGGCATCCCATGTAGACACTAGTTTGTGTCCAGTTGATAACACTTCCTATCCAGCTCTCCACTTAAGGCCTGGAAGAGCAGCAGAGGTTAGCCTAAGTCCCTGGGACAATGCACCCCATGAGAGACATGCAAGCAGCTCCTAGCTCCAAGTTTGGGATAAGCTCACCTCTGGCTATTGCAAGAGTTTTACCAATTTGGAGAGTTTACCAATGGATGGAATACCTTTTGTTTCCATTTCTCTATAAAAACTGCCTTTCAAATAAAAATAAATGAATCTTTAAATAGAGTGGGAAAAATCTCTGTGTGGTTAACCATTCCCACACCCCTCTACATAGACTTCATTAGTTAAACTCACTTGATCAAACCCAGTCTCCCTGAAGGCCCCCTCAGCAGAAAGTATTCAGTTACAAGTTCACTAAACAGGAAGCAACACAACAAAATGTACAACCTGACGGATCGTGCATTGGACCTACAGTCTGGGTTCCATTTTCTGTACATAAGAAACTGTTTGCAGACAAGTTTCCTGAAACTGAGACTGTAGACTCATATTCGTATCTGTATGAACAAAGCAGAGACACATCAAGTTAAGGAACTCACGTGGGTCATGGAACCACTGCATAGATTGGTAACTTGCATTTCACTGGAGCCATCCTCACCCAGTCCAGAAAGGATGAATTTCATCTTTCTGACTCTAACCAACATTGATCCCTTAATAATATCACAAAGAACTTGGTTCTCACTTATCTGATATACATATATCGATACATGTATCATATACATATGATACTGAATAAAGAATAATTAAGAAAATAAGGTTTTGAGGAGAAAAACAACACAACGAAACAAGACTCAAATTTTGGATTCTCATAAGTTTGTGACAGACACAGCCCGGCTTTCTGAGAATCCAAACAATAGTTCCTCTACAAGTTTAAGAACTGCCAAATAGAACATATTCCCCTTGGAATATGGCCTTGGGAGACTTTTCATCATCAGGGCAGTAGAATACACTGACTTTGTCCCTTTTCATAGGCACAGAAGTATTCACTGACCGTGACCATTTAACTTGGTCAAATTGCCACAAGGTCCACATGTCCTTCCTCAGAAGGTAAATTACACACACTGCAAGAATGGAGGGGAATATGTCCAACAAAGCCTCTCTTTGTTACAAACTATGCTGGGTTGTGTTCCGTGGTGTTATTAGGTAAGAAGCCAAAAGGAAGCTTGTCCTTCCAAATTCCCTGTGAGTTAATGAATTTTCAGTTTTGGATGTCACCCATATTCCTCATTTCTGTACTGCACAACATAAAAGAGTGAAAACATCTTTTAGCTGGAACAACCACCCAGTTATGTCCACAGAGCCCGGCTGTTAGCTATGGTCGAAAGCTTCTATCTTCATACTCATCACCCCATAAGACACAAGAGTCCCAAAGAAATAACACTACTGGCAGAAGATGCAAGCTCTGTAGATAATATTTGATTATCACATTATCTTGAATAGAATGGTAGATAAGATGGCAGTAGAAAGTCTGTATAAAAACTTTCTATCTTGTCAAAAATACCTGAGAATGTAAATTTTTTGTTCATTTAATTTGTCCTCTTAGAACTTAATGACTCATTCAAGGTCTATTCATTCCCAAAATGACATTAAAAAGGTTTTTATGATGGGAACAGAAAAGGCACAGCTCCACAAGGATGAAGAGAATGAGAAATTGAACTATGAGAAGCTTAATAAGATTGAACATGGGACTGCAGTTTAAGTGAATAGCCACTGAATCAAAGCCTCCCACCATTCCCAATAACAGTCAATTGAATGTTTGCCACACATCCCTGACAAATTGGAGGATATGTATAAATGTGAGTGTGGACATGGTACAAAGAACCAGAAAAGCTTAAACACTTTGGTTGAAAGTATGCACAGGGTCTGGCATAATGGCTAAATGGCTAAAATCCTCACCTTTCAAGCTCCAGGATCCCATATGGGCACTGGTTCATGTCCCTGCTGCTTCACTTCCCATCCATATCCATATCCCATCCTGCTTATAGCCCTGGGAAAGCAGTGAAGGATGGCCCAAAGCTTTGGGACCCTATACTCACATGGGAGACCCAGAAAAAGCTTCAGTTGGCTCAGCTCTGGCCATTGTGGCCACTTGAGGAGTGAACCAGCAGATGTAAGCTCTTTCTCTGTCTTTCCTTCTCTCTGTAAATCTGACTTTCCAATAAAGATAAATCTTAATTTTTAAAAAAGTAAATAAGTATGCAAAAAGGGGGCCAACATGGTGGTACAGTGTGTTACAGAAAGCTTTTCCCGGCTAGAGTGCTTGAGAATGCAGTCAGAAATGGCCCAAGAGCCTGAGTCCCTACCATCCACCCAAGAAGCAGATGGAGAGAGAAAGTGTGTGTGCGTGTGAGTGTGTGAGTGTGAGTGTGTGTGTTCTAGGCCCCTGGCTTCAATTTACAACTGTTGCAGGCATTTGGGGGAGTGAACAGTAAGATGCCGTGTGTATGTATGTGTGTGTGTGTGTGTGTGTGTGTATTTCAGAAGGCAAGGGAAAAGAAAGCGGAGAGGGGGAGAAGAAGGGAGGTTCTTGTCTCGACTACTCCATTTTCCATCCTACTCTCTGTTTACGGCCTGGGAAAGCAACAGGGGTTGGCTCAAGTCCTTGGAATGCCTCACCCATGTGGCAGACCCTGAAAGAGCTCCTGGCTCCCAGCTTTTGGATCGGCTTATCTCTTGCCATTGCAACTATGTGGAGAACAGAATAGCAGATGGAAGCACTTTCTCTCTCTGTAACTCTGCCTTCAAATAAAATAAATCTTTTAATATTAATGAATTACAAATAAATAAAATGTATATTAGGAATAGTTAAGACTCCTGGAGGCCTTTACTCTGCCACTGGAAATCTGAACAAGCACAATGAATATAGGGAGGCCATTCAACATACTAAAAATGGGGGACGGGGAATATTTGAAAATCCACATGCAAAAAAGTGAGATTCCTAATCCCATCTGGCTTCTAGCCAAACTTCTATTTCCCAAAAGTCAGATTGGAGACGCCTATGCAAGATATGTGCACCTGAGCCATCCGAACAGCAAGGCCTGTCTCCACACAACATCCTGTGCAGAAATCTTCCACTAGCCCAGACCTCAACATGCAGGCCACACCAGTGACTACTCAGATACCTAAGGCTGGTTAAAACAGAAACAAGCAACAAACTCTACACTGGAGGAATAGAGACTAGAAACCAGATATAGAGTATCTGGGAAAAGGCACCAAAACACATGTTTTAAAAGAATAACAAGATGTTCCTTAAAAAGAAACATGTAAACAAGAGTCTATGAAAAATAGAAACATGATGGCACAAAACAATCTATTGAAGACTTGGGAAATTATATTCACTCTCCCAAGAAGCCGTAGGAAGACAGGAAGTTGGAAAATCAGAGAAAATAATGGTGAGAAATTCATAAGCCTAATATGGAACTGGTGCGAGTCGGGTATTATTAAGAAAAAAATATATGTCACTTTTCCTAATGTCCCGATTAAAAGAACAAGGGAAAGAGAGGTTTGTACCAATATTCTGATCAGGAACTTCAAGCCCTGACATCCAAAAGAAAACTTGAGTAGTTCCAGGATAAAGGAAATATTTCACAGAGATTAAAATGACATAGGATTTTTAGTAACACTAAAAGATATAAAGGAATGAAACTGATTTCTAAGTCCCTAGGGGGAAAATATTTTCAACCTATATTTTGTGTTGGCAAGCAATCAGGTACAAGAGTAAAAATTATTTTCAGATACGCAATGTCTTACATGTTGTACTTTCCTTTCACACTCAGAAAGCTAACTGAAATTTTGTTATTAATAAAGAGTAAAAAAAAAAAAAAGGAAACACAAGACTATGTTAAGGAACATCTTCCTAGATTCAAGGAGAGGAAGAGCAAATCCCCAATTCCCAATGATAATAAAAGAATTTTTGGGAAAGCACCTGTGAAATAGCTCTAGAGTTCCCGGTTCAGAACGCAGACGAGAATTCAGAGTAATAGTTGATGTGGGAAGAACATTTGGCCTACCATGTGACAATGAATTAGCAAAAGATACATAGAAAGCTGATGACAAGGAAAAAAAATCAGGCGATTATGAAATCCAGAGAAAATAGAAAGTTATGTAACATAGGAAAGATAACAGCATGGCTTAGTGGTGGAAAATATTGACGGAGTTATACACGTGTAAGCACGGCCTACGTTATCCCCACAGCAGCGCACAGAGCTGTGTGCCACATTTGACATTTCAGTGATGGATTTACTTTCGGTGGTGGCTCCATCTGTTACACATTAAGTCAGGCACAGAAAGACTCATCACATTTTCTCAATTATAAAAGTGAAAAAGATGATATCCAATGAGAATAAAATAGTGGCTACCAGGGTTAGAAAGGTTGGAGAGAGGCTGATCAGTGGATATTCAAACAGGTGAAATAGCTGAGAAGTCCAGGAGCACGGCCGGGTCACTACAGACTGAGAATGTTTGCAACACAATAAATAATACATCTGAGGACAGCAATATGCAAATTATCCTCAACTGATCATCACACATCATATCCATGTACTGAAATGTCACACTATACTCACAAATATGAACAGTTTTACTGTGTCTAGTAATTAAAAAGTCCAAACAAAATTTTAAAGGGGCTGAAGAATCCCATCACCTAGTAGGGTCATAGTCATCCTAATGTTGCTAAGCATCACAATACGAGTGTGACTGTGGCAATGCTATTTCAGTGGGTTTATTTTTTTTAAGACTTATGCAGTTATTTGAAAGTTGCAGTTGAAGAGAGAAAGAGAGGGAAGGGAAAGGGAATTGGAGGGAGATAGAAAAACAGTCAGACATCTTTCTTTTGTTAGTTCACTCCCAGGATGGCTAAAACAGCCAGGGCAGAGCCAGGCCCAAGAGACAGGAGATTCATCCCCATGTCCCACATGGATGACAGAGGCCTAGAACCTCGGGTCATATTCTGCTGCTTTTCCCAGGCCAATAGCAGGGTTTTAGACTGAGAGGGAATTAGCCAGAACAGGAACTGGAGCCCATCTATGGGATGCCAGCTCTGCATGCTGTGGTTTTACCTAACACATCACAATGCTGGCTCCTGTTTTGCTATGTTTAAATACAAATACATACTATTGGTGGTACAACTGCCTACAGTATTCAATATAGTGTTGTGCCATAGGAGTTCTGTCCTAAAGCAATAGGCTAAACCAGATGGTACAGATGAGTAGAATGTGCCACCAGGGTTGGTGTAAGTTCACTTCATGACATTCACACATTAATGAAGGTGCTCAGTGGTGCCTGCCTCAGGATCTATCTCTGTTGTAAAGCGGTTCAAGAGTGTACACTTACCTAACATTAAACTGTGAAAACCTAGTAAGATAAACATGTACTAGGAAGTATGGTGACAAATAGAAAAGTAACAGGTGCACTGATTGCCTCTGGAAAGCACGACTAATGGACATGGGACTTCTTTTATGTAAGCCTGCTGATGTATTTTTTAACTTGGTACATAAATCACTTTGTTAACATTAAAATAGAAATCAACCTTCAGACTGGTCTCTTGGTGACCTACAATCAAATAGAACTTCCTTGTAATTTGAATTGCTTAAGAGGTCCCGAGGTTGGAGTAATCCCATATTTTGGAAAATCCAAAGCATAATTACATCAGACTCAGTTCCGGGAAGGAGCTGTCCCAAATCCTTCTTTCATAAATTCATAAAAACGTGTGGAAGCATGGATGTCTAAGGGTGTAACAGAGCAGTGGAACAAAATTCAAAAATTCCACTCCCATACCTTTACAGAGGAAATTAAAGGCTCTATGTCTCACAGGCAAATGCTGAATTGAAAGCTAAAATTAGAAACTGGACACTTACCTGTCCATGAGGAAATGGGGTAGTGCTTCTAAGAAACATCCTAAGCCCATAACTGCACATCCAACACCAATCATTATAGGTCTATGCAGTTTTGTTCCAAAATAACTCACAAATATAATCAGCAAAAGATTTCCTGGGAGAAAAATGAGAACACTTCATTTCAGTAAGTATAACTAAAATCTCAATAAGCAAATGTCAACTCAATCATTCACATTCTAGCAATTGCTGCACAACGAAACAGCTCAGAACTTAAGAACTGGTGGCTACAAGTGCATCAGACAATGAATGAAATGAAATTTATCCACGACCTGACAAGTGTTCTGTTTCACAATTGTGGACAAACACATTAACATATCTCTGTGTGATACCAATGTTTCATGAGGACAGAAGAAGAGAAGCCAGTAAAAGAAACTAAAGAATGGTTCTGATAAATTTTAAAGGTTCTACCAGTAATTAATCTTACAAGATGGGATGCAAAGATGGGACACTATTTTTTATGCAACCTCTGCTCTCCTCCATGCCTATTCTACAGAATATTGTTTTCTGATGCTCAGAAAGATAAGCAAAGGCCAATTTAAGACGGATCCATGTTTTAGAACACGATTGAAGATAACTTTATAGTGGTCAACATGATCAAGACAGATTTATTTTAAATTTTGCTTCTTAGGTCAGATAATTTGATTTAGCAAAAGGAATTAGACTCCTTCATTAACTTGGTCTAAAGTTTGCATCTGAAGAGTAAAATACTCAATGAAAAATGTAGCCCTCTATCTTAGGGATTACGTTAGGATAAATTACCTTTGAGAAAGAAAATTAGACCTCTTCCACCACTACCACTTGGGCAGCTTGCTTCTTCCACTGCCACCCAGATGGCTTCTGGGGGTCAGGGCTGGCAGCTTCAGGAAGATGGGGGCCAGGGGTGGAAGGGGGTAGGGCCACAGACTGATATGCTGATGTGGTGTGCTGGTGCACCAGGCTTGGGGGCTTGCACATGTGCTTGGGTTCCAGGTGGGTACAGGTAGAGGGTCCCATGTGTGCTAGAGGACAGGTCTGGGGACCCATGGATGTGCTGGGGTCCTGGATGGGCAGGTAGGGGTCCAGGCCAGCACACCATTCTGCTGGAAGACCAGACTGGGGAACCCACACTCCTGTGGGTAGGGAAGAGGGTATGGGATGTATGGGAGGGGGAAATACTGATATAGTACATTTCAGGTGAGGAAGAATTTTGGGGGACTTGTACCAACAAAGCAACTGTAGTTGCAAGTAAACAGATAGGTTGAGACAGAGCAGATTCCAGGAAGAAACTTGAGGAACCTTCTGGGTCAAATCAATGCACCCACCACATGGCAGTCCTGCACTAGCTCTTTAGTGCTGCTTACCACCCACCAGCACACAGAAAGCTAAGGATGGGGAGGCCTACCTGGCAGACTAGACCACAGTACCCACCAGTGATCATCAGAACAGGGAATGGGACTCATTTGACTGGGTCATGACACTAACCTGTATGCAGGAGAACTGGGTTTAGTAGTAGATTCTATGGGGGATATATGGGCTCACCCCCAGGGGCCTGCAATATCCACTGGTTTCCTTAAGAACTGGGAATGATGGTGGGACAAACAAGGCATGGAATTCACTGATACTCATGGATAGTGGGATTAAGAACTGGCTGGATTAGTCCAGGCTGCATTCTACTTCTATTTCTACATCAGCCACGTTGGCCTCTCCCCGTTTCTGAGCTCTCTAGCATCAAAGCTATGCATGTTGAGGCTAGGATCTCTAGGAGGCCATAGCTGGCGATGCATAGGTGTTCTATACATATGAGAGTGAGTCCAACATTCCAGCGGCCTTGCTTGGTCAGTAAAGCAATTGTTATAAGCAAGGATTGGAGAAAGGGACATACATGAAAACTGTGCAGAATGCTCACAATGTAACAATCTCCACCTTGACCTTAGCCAGCCAGAAATATCGGGCTGAATGTTATTCCTCATAAAAGCTCCTACGATGGCTAATCCTTTTCCTTTTTTCTTCTGATTCTCTTTCACACTTGGCTAACCTCATTCCTTCATCTTGAAAACTTTCACACATCCTCCAAGAGTCTTTCTTCTGTAAGTGAGGTTGTACGTGCTGTTGTGCTCCTATTGGATCATGCATAAATCTACATTGCCACACTTCTTCCTTCAAATCAAAGTATTATTTTACATCTGTAACCTCCATACCTTGTGAGCAAAATCTGCACAAAAACTACATAGGGATTTAGCTCTAACTCTGTTGCTGGAATCCAGCATGCAGGTTTTGGGTTAAGGGAGAGGGCATGGAATATCAGGAGACAGGACCAAGTGTCATCTATTTCAGTGTGGCCTCTACTCAGCCTGGATTTCTCTTTTGAATATTGGTTGAACATGTTAAAAGCAATTTTCACCTTGAAAGAAGTTGAAGCCATTACAAAAAAAAAAAAAGAGTGCCATTTGTGTAGCTTTGTTCCTAAAGGAAATCCTTCCTCCTTCAGTTCTCCTCTCTGGTCTTACACGATCCCAGTCAGCCATAAAACAAGAACCGATGAGAACATTTTGCTCTGCCCTAGAGATTGTCTCTGAAATATATTTGGCATATAAAAGCAGCTTCTTTTTCCTCTGTATTTAGAAGAGAGACCCATTCACATGCCAGGCATGGTGGAGGAAAAATATTACATTTTTCTTCAGAAAAAAAGTATGCCTTTCATCTCTACAGTGTCATCTAACCAAAAAGATAGAGAACTTAGTTTCTGCATGGCCATCAAATGGTAAATTTACATATGAATACTCTGGATACTCTGCTACTTATGCCAGCAATCAACAGCCTATTAGAATATTGGAAGTACTAGCCAGATTTATTAGGCAAGAAAAGTAAATCAAAGGAACACAAATTGGAAAGAAACAAGTCAAATTATCTATTTGCAGATAACATGGTTCTCTATGCAGGGGAACCAAAAGACTCAACTGAAAATTGAGTTGTTCAGACAACTGAAAATTGATTTGCCCTAAGACCAAGCTGTCTCACTCCTGGGAATATATCCAAATAAATCTACAATAGCAAAGACACAGAACCAACCCAGATGCTGGTTGAAAGAAGAATGGATATAGAAACTGTGGTTCATCTACTTCGTGGAATACTATACAGCCATTAAAAGAATGAAATCCTATCATTTGTAACAATATGGTCCCAACTGGGGACCATTATGCTCAGCGAAGTAAGCCAGTCCCAAAAGGACAAACATCATATTTTATCTCTGATTTAATACAACCTTCATGCAAAATATAAAACAGATACATGGGTCAACGTGTATGTACATATATTCTCGTAGATAACTGTATAATGGATTCTTGCATACCAGGAACTGAAGATATGTTATAGTGGACATCTCTATCCCTGAATAAAATAACTCTCAATGAATCAGTTAAACAGATTTGACAGTATGATACTAAGTCTTGTACCTTTGTTTTTACCTACAATGCCATGATAAAGAGCAGAATGTTAACTTTGTAACTGAACTATGTAAATGCAATCATGTGACATATACTCTTTATGTCCAGATAGACTTTCTCATTAATCAATTAAGTACTTTTTAGAAAAAAAAAAAGAAAATTCAAATTTGCAGCATAGAGAAAACAAAATGAAAAAAGAAAGATTAATGCAAAAATAATCCATTACCAATCTCGAAGCTCCCATTAATAAATCCAACCAGAGATGTTGGGATGTTGAACTGTCTTTCTATCTGTGTGAGCATGGAATTCATGTAAGATCCAGATAATGTTTTGGATACATATGCACATGTGATTGCCAACAGAAACATCTAGGAATAAAAAACATAAGAAAACATGTGAAGAATGAGCTTTTAAATTACATACTTGTATCTACTGACAAAAGACTTTCACCACTAGAGTGACGGTCTCCAATTAAGTAATTCTTGAATCTGCAAAAACTTTAAAGTATGGTCTGCCCTCCTTATCCATCACAGTATCTTTTCTCTGAAAACTCAGTGTAACACTAATGAATTACTGATACTGTATTTTGCAGCTTTCTCATTCTACAGGCATACCTTAAACACAAAGTCACTCAAAAGAAGATATAGCTCTTGATTCAAATAGGTTTTTAGCACTATAATACTGTTTATATATATACACACACACATATAATATATATACACCCACTTTATATACATACACAAACACACACCTTAATGAAAGCAAAGCATGTTTTGAAAAAACCACATTTTCTATGTGTTCCAGAAAGGTTGTGAACAATTATGTTATAATTTGTAAGAACATGAAGCAGGGCCAGCATCCCACATGCGCACTGGTTCAGATCCCGGCAGCTCAACTTCTGATCCAGTTCCCTGAGAATGTGGCTGAGAAAGCCGGGGAAGCTGGCACAAGCACTGGAGCCTCTTCACCCAAGTGGGAGATGTCAAAAGAAGCTCCAGCTCCTGGCTTGGGACTGGCTCAACTCTGGTCATTGTGGCCATTTGGGGAGTGAACCAATAGATGGAAGATTGTTTGTCTTTAACTCTTTCAAATCAATACATTAAAAAATAATAAAACATAAGTCAAATTGCACAAATAAAAAATTCTGACTACCAGAATTAAAATTCTGTTAGGTTTATTAAATTTGAAAGAAAAAAAAATTTTAGTGAGGATTTGAAAACAGGAATGTTGTATACTGTGTAATGTTACAGTTATGTAGATTACTCTTTTTTTTTTTTATTGTTGCTTACATTGTATTATGTAGTACAGTTTTATAGGCACTGGGGATTCCCCCCAAAAACAATAAAGAGTGGATCAGATGTGTTAACCTGAACAGCCACCTTTAACTGCAAGCCAAAGGTTTGTTTTTTTTTTCTTGACCCTACTTAAAGATATCCCCTGATGGTACTTCCATCTATTTCCATCCTGGGAGATCACTTGAACTTCTCTAGCCAGCACAATCAAATCCTTAAAAACCTAATTCTTATACCTGCTGTAATTTCACTCTTTATCTAACCCAACATTTATCTTCTGCATTTCATCTCGTTCAAAATTGTTCAGAATCCTGATTCGCAGTCTCCAATCAGCCACATACTCTTTGATATCACCAATTTCAACCTGCAAAATTATCTCTGTCTCCATGCCCATTTCCTTCTAGCTTTAGAAGGATCACTGTCCCTTCTCCTGTATAATAAAGTCCCTCCCCTCGTGGTTTTGGATTTATTCTCATTCCGGAGATTAATTTCTGCCCTGCCTTCTGTTTTCAAGCTCACACTCTTTACTGCCGCTTTCACCATTAGCTTGTTGATATTCTCAAGCAGTGTTGAGCAATTGCAATCATTTTTGGTCTTCCCCAGACTTTCCCACCCCTAACCTCTCTTCCATACATCACTAGCATTAATTTGGAGCTTGTTTGTCTAAAAAATACACAGCATGTGATTTTAATCCACTATGTAGTTAGTAAAATACCTACTAAATATGTAAGACTCATTTCTTTCAACATTTCTACCCTGAAGTGTCCTGTCACTGTTCTCTGGATGGTCTTGATCACTTACAGATTTTCCTAGCCGACTGAATACCTACTTCTCTTCCAGCCCTTATTACTCTGAACCATACACATCTAGAGGCCCACAATTCCTCCATGTGTCTACTGTGAACAGTTCAGAAACTGAAGCCACATATTATTTATTTTGGGGTCTCTAGTATCAATTATGGGTCATATGGTAAAGGCTTTTGGAAACCTATTTTGAAATTCAATAAATATATGGTAGGTTAATTTTTAAGTTGACCATTTTGTGTGTAACAAACATCCAAACACAGATATTTTTCTATAGCTTTCTCCTTTAATTTCTGTGCCATATTTAGGTATCTGAACAATGGTGGTCTCCTTCTAAGAGCTAACAGCTGTTATCTCTCATGTAGATTCTGAAATATTGGAAGACTAGTATTAGTTGTGTTTTCTTAAGATTTCAAGTAATTGCATTTAAACTGTAATTCTCTTAGACAAATGTATTTATAACTGTGCTATAGAATAATTATCAGCCATTTTTAAAATATATTATCAATATGCTGTAAGAATTGGGCGCTCTAATGGAATTACGCGTGTTCTCTCTGTCCAGACAGGAAACCATGCACTGTAATAGTAATCTACTTGTCATAGGTCTGAAGCCTGGGAAGTGCACTCCCCCTTCAGAGGGGCTCCACTTCTGCGACCTGTGACGTCACAGGGCCCCATCTCCCACTATCATCACTGTGGGAGTTAGTTTCAACAGTTGAAGTCGAGTGATCACAAACATTCAGACCTCCACATACACCTAAACCAATTAATTTAGGGAAATCTGAATAAAAAGTTATCTGAAAATAATCTGGGAAAATTGATTATCAAGCTTAATAGGGATGAAGGTCAGTTTATGGATTCAAGTTCATCTAGCTTTATCTCCAGCCATCAGTATTTTCAGAAAAAGCTTCTGTCTGTGTACATTTTGTCTCTCTTCCCACTTCAAACCTTCACAGAAAACAAGGGGGAAAAAAAAGGATTCTCACATAATTTTATTCAAAAGCAAGTTCTACCAGATCAAGTACAAATCAGATTGGAGAAAATAACTATTTTAAATTTTTTAAAAGAGACTGACTTAAATATTACTCCTATACTCTCCCTAAAAACCCTAAAAATTTCCTAAGTTATTTGGTTTCACACATTAAAAGAAGCAATTGAGTGTTCCTACTCATGTCTCATGCCAAAAAATTTCCTTGTTTATAAAGTTAGTCCTACTACCTTTTAACAAAATGCCCTAGAAGTCAAAGCAAATTTGCTAGGGATAGTCCTTATATGACAATTTTTCTTAATGAGAAAATGCATAAGTACAGAGAAACAACCTCTTGATTATTAAGCAATTACCTCTAACTTCTACATAAAACTTGCACTTATATTATGATATCGTAATCTAATTTTGCCAAACTCCCGAGTAATCAAAAATTAAATTTAAAAAACCTGTTGTGAATGGATAATACTCATCTGACTTTTTTTCCACAAATGCTATTAACAGTAACACCTAAGATTTACTTAACGTTGGGGCCAGCAATCTGGCTCAACAGGTTAATCCTCCTTCTCCAAATGCCAGCATCCTATTTGGTTACAAGTTTGTGTCTCTGCTATTCCACTTCCCATTCAAGGTCCCTGCTTATGGCCTGGGAAAGAAGTGAGGGTTGCTCAATGCCTTAGGACCCTGCACCCACATGGGAGACCTGGAAGAAGTTCTTGGCACCCGACTTTGCATCAGCTCAACTCCAACCATTCCAGCCATGTGGGGAGTGAACCAGCAGTTGGCAGATCTTTCTGTCTCTCCTCTGTTAAATCTGCCTTTGCAATAAATGTTTACAATATTGTATGATTATAATACTTCAGTCATTTTATCATTAGAAAGAATCCTAGGTACTGTCATCGTGTTATAGCGAGTTAAGTGTTTCCTCTTTCTGATCCACCTGTTTCCATCTCTTTCTGATCCAGCTTCCTGCTAAAGTGCTTGGGAGACCCCTCAGATACCCGAGTCCTTGTCATACACAAGGGAGAGCTGGCTTCCTGCCTTAGGCCTGGCCTCCACTCCTAAGCTGTTATAGGCAGTAGTGTCTAGAGAGGGGATTATGGATGGAAGATTCTTTCCTCTCTCTCATTCCATTCTGTCACTCTGCCGTTAAAATAAAAGGAATAACTTTTTTTTAATTCTAGAAACTAGGAGTATTATTATTATCCTTCTCATATGAGAAAATGGGAACAAGGAAGAGGGTAATACCTTGCCCAATGTCACAGAGAAAATCTCAACTAAAAATCGGAGAGGAACCCAGAGCATGTGGGCAACAAATCCTTGTGTTTAACCACTTAATAATAGGAGGACATGGGATTGTGGGACCATGAAGGACACTATTTTTCATCAATTAACACATGGTTTCATATGAAAGCAAACTTCTAGATACATGTAGAACTTCTCCATTTCTGTGTAGTATACAAATCCCCACCCCCCCCACACACACACATCTACAAGGAAAATTAGATTTTTACAGGGAAAAACAGGTGACAGTGTGTTCCAGTAGGAACTTAAGCAGTAGTGCAGATAAGACAAATGCTCAGTCCTTGGTTTAAAATAAAGTCAAATATTGTTGAAATGTAAAACTGGAAGCAATAAAAAAGATTTTGCACTGAAATCATAAAAACAATCAGAACAGTTAACATGAACACTGTCTTATAAAAAATGATAGTTACATTGCCAGAATTTGAAGAAAACATTTGCTTTCCTGGGTCACTGTGACTTCATCTCTGCCTACAAACTACAAAGCTTTCTGTCCAATGAACTGTTTTTCAGAAGCTACCAGGACCTTTCACAGGATTAAAAGCCCCTAAAGATGGGCTTTATTCTGCCCTTTGATTAGGAAAATAATCTAGACTATCATGTACACTGGAAAGGAAAGCTATACATCCTATCTAACATTTATCTTGTTCAAAACCATTAGTGATGAAATTGCCAAAGTCAATAATCCTATTTGGACACACCCTCGGTCAAAAAGTCAACTTCTTTAAAGAAATCACTAAACAAAATAGTATATTAATATTAAATTATTTCATGCAAATATGAGCATTTCACAGGGATTACATTTTTTTTTAATTTGTGTATGCACAAACTCCCACCCTCCGCGCGTGCACACACACACACACACAAAGCAACACAAATGAATTCTGTACCTTCATCTTGGACAGACATCTTATTCTATGCGTTTCAATCCTTTTTTCACTTTCTCCCATGTTGCTCTTCTGAGTGTCTCAAGGTATTTGTTTTAAATCTTGCTATTCTTTAGCTCTACCCTTTTAAGAAAGCAAAAATACATTAAATGACAAAATTTCAAGTCACCCTTTTGGAAAAAAAATTACCAAATACATGCAATGTAAGTAGAAATCACAGTATTACCAAAATTGCCTGGGAAGGTTTTGATTAAAATCTAGAAAAGAATGGCGTTAGGAGAGATTTAGTTGTTGATCTTACATTGAAAAACTTAGCATGGAATAGGTTTTCAGTGAGATTAAGGAGTAACTTGTTATGACTCCCCCACCCCTTGCAAAATAATAACTACATGGTTAAAACAAAGCTTGTTAATTCTTCGGCCAAAACAAATAGAATCAAAGTATGCTCCTTGGACTTACATGAAAATTGCTGCTTTTAAGAACACAAAAGACTTTGATTTGTGTTTGTTCTCAAAATCAGCTTCAGGAAGCCCAGGAAGGCTCAACAATCTTTCTTTGGCTAGGCGCCCTCTTCAAGTTCTTTGGATTCCAAGACTTCCCTGGAGTCTCAGGAGGGGAAACACTTTCTGATGCACTGTTGATTTCCAGAAACCTGGGGAGACATGGAATGTTAAGCATGGAAGTAGTCTAAGTAAAAATATCAAATAATTCTATGATCTCAAAAGGAATCCTGCCATTCTACGGTTTAGGAAAGAAAGCAAACATCAGTTGAGATAGGTATATGGATATGAAGAGTTTCCAAACGTTCACGTGAAAATACATATGAGAAAAGTATGTATACAGTCCAAAACCTTTTTGCACCAAATAAGTTTATCTTTTGTGAAGTCCACAAATTTGTTCAAGCAACATGGTAAATATAGTGGGTGTAGATATGTGCATCTGAATTTATGTTTAGTATTTAGGCATGCATCTTATATACAAAATAGAAAGATGACAAAATCTGTTAGATTCTATTAATTTTTGTCTCTAGTTGAACCTAAAGAGTTTTTTCCTACATTATGTCTTCAAAGTACCACTGTAATTTGTACCAAAACTAAAGCGTTTTACTTTAGTAATACTTATTCTAGCAAATCTATTTTAAGTTGTGAGACTGAGATATTAACCGTAGCCTTCGGAAATATTTAAGCCCAATACAGTCACCCCATCAAATAATAGCAAAGAAAATATTTCCTCTATGTCACCCTGGTTTATTAACTCTGATGAAAGATATCCATTTAACAACTGATCATAAAGGGAACTAAATTTTAGAAACTTAACCGCTTTAACTCCATAATTTTGCTGAATCCCAGTAACACACATTAAGGCAAAAGGTACAGAACAATTATGTCTGAATGTAATGGTTTTTCTCCCAGTGTCTCACAGATACAGCAAATATTTAGTCAAAGCCTATTGTATTCGTGTCATTGTGCAAAGCACTTGAAGTCAACTGTGAACCAGCACCCAAATTGTCCAGTAGAAGAAATAAACTACTTAGAGAATTGAATGTACTACCAGCAGTGGAGAATACTTGGACAAAGGTCCTAACTAACTTATACTTTCATCTGAGGAAGTTAAACTTTTTTCATTTTTTAAAGTTAAACCTTTAAATAAAACATAATGGAAAGAAGTAAGTGCAGGATGATATTCACATGGCTTGGTATGAGCTTGTAAAAAATGAACACAATCATAGATTATGGAGGAAAGCTATAGAGACACTTGGTTCATTCTGAACACATGTATACACAAACTCTGCCTGAAATCTTCTACATAAAATTTCAAATCATCTTAGCTGTTCTGCAAGAACATGATGCTAGTTTTGAGTAAAAACAAATAGAACAGAATAAATTTTCTAAGAATAGAAACACATGATTTATCCATCCACTACTACCATGTTGGTTGGGGGGAGCTCAGGTCAGTCTGGGCTGATATCTCCTAGCTGCATGACTGCAGCTGGGGAATCCAGGCCAGGCATCCTGGGTCCTACCTGGTAGTGCACTCTGGGAACTTGGGGGTATGGGCTTGCATTGAGTCTGGGAGATGGCACAGGTGGGGATGAGCACGGACCTTAGGGTTCATGTCCAGGTGAGGAATGACTTCTCTGGTACTTTTATGGACAAGGCTACTCTACTTGAAGGGCTACAACACGGAACCCACCAGAGTGTCAGAAAAGGGAATGGATACTACGAAGCTGGGCATGAAGTAAACAAACACATCATTGAGTCAGGTCTAGGGGTAGAATCTGCATGCAAATATGTGGGCTCATCCATGTGGAACAGCAATCTCCACTGGCACGCACAAGAACTGTGGCTGAGAATAGGCCTAGTTGAGGAGCTAAGGGGACACCTTGGCTAGGCTGGAACTCCCACTAATGAATTCAAGAGCCAGAATTGGTGCATTGTTCTAGGCTGAACATGGCTGCAATCTCCCTTAGCATGGGTGTGGCCTGGGTCTGGGAAGGGCCAAACTAGGCTAGACTCCAGCACACACTGGTACTCATTAAAATCAGGGTGGTTGTAGAATATAATAGACTAGATTTCAACTCCTGCTGAGCCATGTAACAACCATGTCTGGGCACAGACCATGTGTGGTTGGATGCAATAGCCAACAGTAAGAACCAGAAAGGGTATGGGCTGATTGGGCTAGGGCACTGTTCACATCAGGACAACAGTTAGACTAAGTCAATCTGGGCCAGGGACCTACCAGTGTCCATAGATCTTGGAAGAGACTGGATAGAGGAGCTTAGTGAACTCCTTTGTCAGGTTGTAGTCCCTGCAGATCAGTTTAAAAACCAAGGCAAGGAGCAGCCCAAACCAGACAGGTACCTACCAGCATACATATGGGTCAGATGAGGGGGTGGGCCAGGCCGGGCCAGATTATAGCATCCACTGGCAGATCCGAGAACCAGGATAAGTTTCAGGAGGGACCAAGTTTGGTCTGCAACACCAGCCAATTCACACTTGAGCCGGGACTGGGGGCTTACTGGGTAAGGCTGGGCCGCAGCAGCAACCAGCATAAGCTGGAACTGGGTGCAGGCTAGACTGAACTAAACTGAAGCACCAGGATGCTGAGAAGAGATAAGTCACATCAGTCTGGGGCTGTGGGTGCCAGATGCATGATCTCCAGGGACAGAGGGGCTTGAGCCTGCCAGTAAGGTGGGTGCTGGATCTATGAGCCCCAGGGATGTGGGGTCCAGTGGGTACCAGCTCACATGCCATCAGGCCCTGAGCCCATGTGTGTAGTGGGTGCTAGATCCATGAGCCCCAGGACTGGGGAAATCCGGTTTGGCCCAGGTCGCCTAATTCAGGTCCATCAGTTGGATGGCAGATCATGGTGCACTTGGAGGACTTGGTAACCCACTGGGGCCTGCAGAGGACATTTGGTACCACAGCAGAGAGTGGAGACCTGAACAAATGGACAACTACCCCAGCCAAATGACGACAGAAAATATCTGGGCAAGTGAAGACTATAAATTTGACTGTGTCAGCCAATGGACGATGGAAGGGATTCCTCACCTATAGAATGGAAGGACTAACAGCATTTTGGAACTATCGTATCCAGGAAGGCAGAATCCTTGCAGCATGTGCCACATTGTGAACCAGGGTTGATACCCAATGGCCTTTCCCCATCCTCAGGTACTGAGATGGTTGGGAGGTTGGATAAGGCCTATCCCTTATTTCCCCTTTCCCCCTAGAAATGGGAAGAAGAAAGAGTTTGGAAGCAGTCATCACACTCACTTCTCCCTAACCCTAGATCCTTCCCACCTTGATCGGCTATGTAAACATCATCTCAAATTTTAAAAAATATATTTTAAAACACATAATTTAATCACAGCAAGTAAAATGTAGATTCATCATAAACCTCTCAACTGTTTCTTCTCATACAGCAAGATCCCAGTCTTCTTTTATCTCTCTGCTAAAATCTAATCTCCTTATACCTTATCAAATAAGAAAGTTTTTCATTCATGTTTTAGTTGTCATCACTGTTTTGATTAACTAAGAACAAGCACTTATGTCTGCTTCTTATGCACAGCTAAGGGGCACAGAATCTGACCTAGTGATACACAAAATTGCCACATACAAGAATTTTCAAAGTCCTTCCATGAATTGCAACCCTAAGTAACTATCTGAGGCAGTTTGTTTTACCACACCTTGAAGGTTTGTTTCTCTCTCTTTTTCTATATCAGAAATTTATAAAACCCTGTCTTGAGATAAGCAGAAGTATTTTAAGCTGAGCTCTTAGAAAGAATTCAATGTGATCAAGTCAATCCTAAGTCTTCTCTGACTTGCCGGCCTACTTAGTAAAAATGTCATCCTTTCAGGTACAGTTTAAATATTTGCAGGTAGGAGAACAAATTCATAAAATTATTCCCTTCAATCCTCAAAATCCATGAAATCCAATGGTTAATGCCAACCATCACCAGTGAGCACTTTGACCACAAACTAGGAAAGTGAGTATTCTTTTCAGATGGATGCATGTGAACACTCCCCTTTTGCCACCACAGGGCTGTGTTCCAAGCGCACACATCACTGCTGACAAAGCTCAGTCAATCAGCACTGCCAGTGAAAATGACTTGCTGGAAAGAATTATTGCATTCCTCACCTTGCTCCTTGGCGCTCAAATGGTACCAAGTAATAACCTTAATATGCATGCTCACACCATGGTTAAGTATCTATCATGATCGCAACTCTAGGTGGTTTTGTTTATTTTATTGTGGCAAAAACTGACAAATATTTAAGAGTATATGATACAGAATTGTTAACTGTGTACATAAACATTGTTGTGCAGCAGGTCTGCAGAATTTTTCAAGTCTCATGTAACTACGGTCACTGAACAGCTACTCTTGAGTTTTGACATTCTGTGGCTGCCAGCCCTTAATGACAAGAGTCAATCACAATGGAACACAATTTTACTCAAAATGGAGAAATAATCCTCTTTATGTTTCTTCCCCAGTGCTAAGGATATTGGCCGAGTATGTGGTAATTAGAAATCATCTTGGAGAAATGCATGCATTACTTCACAGCATCCTGAAGAACTGAATTAATAAAAATAAATAGCAGTTTTAGCATACTAAAGCTAGTGTCACACACATGCATAAGACTTAGGAGATATCCTTTACCTGAGAAAAAGGGGTCACACCAGCAAAATCTTATGGAAATCACTTGTTCTCAAGATATCCAAATAAGTTCCTGGCTGTGTGAGAAGCAAACAGCAATTCGAGTGATATTCAGCTGCGGCAATTTCGACCAATATCAAAACAAGCAAGTACATGCCAAGGAAGCACATGGACAATAAACAATGATCTTTTGTATGATGCCTAAGGACTCCGTTGGCTTTCATTGGTTCATTCTTGTCCAAAACAACAACAACAAAGCATTGAATTTGGCAACTCAACCTCCCCAAATGTGCATTATTTTACTTCTTCCAGTCAGAGAAGATAACTAGAGCTTATCACTCCAGGAAAACCTAAATGAGAAACTTAATGTGTCCATTGAATATCAGCCATACACATGATTTCATTCTGCAAAGACTAGCACTCACAGAAACACAAGCAAAATCCTTCATCAGC